AGTTTTCGATAAATAAAAATTTCCAAACCGCTGTTTTGAAGGAAACAAAAGAAAACTAGGATTGTTTCTAAGCAAACATGAAATGATCATTCAACTCAGTTGGTAGAAGAACCTTGAGGTCGTGGGATCGAGTCTCATGGAGTGCATTTTCATAATTCAGATGTCTCCTACAAAAATTACTCTCAACCTGGTGTTGGAGACAGTTTACTATCCTACTTCCCCTTACATATGAGAATAGGGTCAGTTATTATTTTTTTTGTTTCTAAGCAAACATGCCGCATGCATAGCTTAACGTAAGACGAACCGGAATCGAAGAGAATTTCCAGGGTGTGATGGGAGAGAACACCAGAGGATTGACTGAAAAAATGGTCATATCCGATAGTAGACTTTGCACTGTAAAGAGGTTCCGGAAGGTAATAGCGAGAAAGAGTGATTTCGGTAGGAGAGTCGAGAGGTTGACTCAGGTTTGCAACAAGTGCGACTACCTCGTCGGTTCGTCACCATCACTGCTTAGTTCTTACTTATATGTCAAGAGGAACGACTTACGTCATACAAATTCCCAAGGACCAAATCTATTGCGTCCCTACCCCGGAGAACGCGAGTCGATATGAGCACCTATCCAAACGGAAGGCTCGTCGTAGTACCTATCGCAGCTGCTGTAGCTGCTTGTTGATTACCATCATCCTCCTCCTCCTCCTCACCGCTGCCATTTCTGCCGCAGTTATTTACTTCGTTTTCAAGCCCGAGTCTCCAAATTACTCCGTCGAGAACGTTGTCATCAGGGAATTCAACCTTGACGTCACCATCGTCTCTCTCGCCTGAGTTCGACAATCGACATCACCGTTCGGGCACACAACCCCACCGATAAAATTGATATTTACTACAAGAAATGTAACTTTTACTACGAAGACATTAACCTCTGTAACTATGTGTTGTCGGCTTTTTACCAACCGATGAATAAGCGTGTGTATATATTATGAAATGGTTTAAGGGGAAGGACACCACGAGACATGTAATTGTTTTAGTTATGATTTTGTAAAATAATAATATTTGAAAAATCAAAATAAAATTATAAGAATAATAAAAATATCGAAATATTTAATTTATCATTGATATTTTTTATAGAGCTAATAGTTTAAAATAAATGAGATAATAATTAAAATTTTAAAAGATAAAATGTTTCAAAAAAATATTGTAGGGAATTACCGGCACAAACAACATATTTTAGAGATCAATAGTGCATTTAATCCTAAATTTAATTTGAAATTTTAAAATAAATTTACAACTTTCTATTAACAGGCGACAGCAAGGATCATTAGTTGCCGCCCCAATATCTCTTCGATTCGGATTCGACTGTTTGCAAACAAAGCAAAACAATATTCTTTCGAGAAGAAAAAACAGAGAATAAGAAAATGCAAGACCATTCCAGACCGGTAACTGGTTATCCGGTTCAGAACGTTAACGGCTGCGCTCCGCCACCGCCCCCATCTCGAGTACCGCCTACCCTTACGTTAACCCCAGCCCATACCCTTACTACCCAGCACCGCCACCCCAAAACCCACGTCCCACCTTCTTCCGCCGCCTCTTCGTCGCCTTCGCCGTACTCTTAATCATCTTCGGTACCATCCTTCTCATCTTCTGGCTCGTCCTCCGCCCCCACCTCCCGATTTCTCCATCCAATCCCTTTCACTTTCCAACTTCAACGCATCAACCAGCGCGTGAACGGCACGTGGAATGTCCGGTTCCAGGTCTCCAATCCCAACAAGAAGCTCTCCATCTACTACGGAGACATCGTTTCCTCTGTTTTCCACAAGGATGACTTCTTGACTGAGACAAGGATCGAGCCGTTCGTGCAGGGCACGCGCGAGGTGAACAGTGGAGGCGAGTTACTCCGTGGTGGATTCTTTCGTGGAAGGCAAGGTTGTCGACGCGATGAATGGAGAGAGGACACGTGTAGAGATCAAGTTCAATATCAAGGTGGTCGCCGACGTTGCGTTTCGATACGGTGGGTGGAGAGGACGGCGTAGGCTTCTTAGGGTTTGGTGTGACGATTTGGCGCTTTCTGGTTCCTCCGGGAAGATGACCGGTGGTTCAAAAAAATGCAGCGTTGATTGATTTACCGTGAGTATTGAGTTCAATTTCTTTCTTCGTTTTCTCTAATTTTGTCCTTATCATGCGCTAATTTAGGCAATTTCCAGGATTTCAGAATAATGGCAATGTCACTGAGAATATATTATTAGTCTTTATTTATTAAACTATCGAATTAATAGGTTCTTGGATGTTAATAATGGTTCCTCGTTGATTAGTTTTGATTTCCAATTCATTTTTTATAATCTTTTCGATCCAGAGTTGACTCTGAAGTTTACTTCGCAATTTGTTAGGTTATAATTGTAAAATCCATTCTTAACTCCATTGAAAATGATTGCAGCAGTGACATAATGTTGCCTTGTCAATTCATTTTTTAAAAGGAAAATTGATCCAAGTTTTACGCTTTTAGAAGTTTGAACCTTCAGCTATGCTTATGCTTTGAGAATGTTGAGTTTTGATCCAAGATATGATCGAACCGGTACTATCTAGCTAATTGTCATAACACTACTGGTATAATGTGCTATAAACGAGGGAAGAGCAGGCGGTGCTCGGCTGACTTTGTTCTGAACAAGAAATGTAGATAATAGCTATGGCAGTTGGCAGAAGTTTGTACTTTGTGTGAGGAACCATGTTGGTGGTGGACTGCTGGCCAACTCGATTATACCTGTAAACCTGTAGGCCTTAGTAAACGTCTGATACCGAGATTTGGCTGTTGAACTATTTCTTGGTAGTGATCTGGGAATTTTAGGATGAATGGTTATGGGAGGGGAGAGGACCTGAATTTGGGACATTTCGTTTACGATGAAGAGCGGTTCACCATGTTAGTTAGCTGTCATGGATTCATGTTGATCCTTTTAATCCCATGTTTTTGGCCTATTTGTTGAACCGATTTCCATATAGTTTGCCACTTGGTGGATTCAAAGCTCCTCTTTTTTGTTAGTGGATTGGAAACTGAACTGGAAGTCATATGTAAATCTCATACTTGATCACTGGCTTCAAAAGTTATTTTTGCGATTTTCACATTCCAAGAATGTTGTCTTGTAGTCTAATCGTTATATGCTTTTGCAGTTCTTCTATGGGTTGTTAGCTTTGTGCATACTCAGTCGTTCTAGTTACCTAGTTTCTAATCTTCTATAGACAATTAAATCTTCCCCCATGAGTAATGTTTGAAACAGCTTTATACATCTATGCTCCGTTTTTCAATTGTAGTTAGGTTTGGAGCGTACTGTTTTGGATTGTGTTCCTTTTCCACTCTTTGGTTACATTTGGTATTAATGAACATTTAGCTCACTCTTGATTCTAGTTTTTCTTAGTGACTAGGAATCTAAATCAAATTTCACCAGTAATTTGGTTCATGGAACTTAACATGTGAGGGTGATGGCGAATGTCTCTTTGTCCAGTGACGGACGTATGATTTTATGTTAGGGAGACGAAAACAGATTATCAATAGAAGTTTTCTTTACATATCAGTAATGGCATATGCCATTGTTTTCTGGTATTGTGTCCTTTGTGCACTGAATATCTTTCAGCTTCTGATTTTGCAGGTGTGGATGGCTCACTACTAAGAAGCCCTATTGCACATGCATTCCATTCGCTGCATGTATGGTTAAAAGGTAATATGACAAGAGAAGGAGAATGAAGAAATAATTAGAAATGAACAAATTTTTTGAGTAGTTTTGGCAAATGTTAATTTGCCCCCAACAATCTCCATACTTTTCTTAAATCATGTGTTACATATGAATGTAAATTTTATGGTGCTCTTTTAGGAAGCTATATATTAGGGTCTAGACTTAATAATATACTGATTTGCTATTATTATTATTATTATTATTATTATTATTATTATTACAAATCTAGTCCTCAAAAACTAGAGGATTTATTAATTTAATTCCTAGGAATTTTAAGACTTTGCAAGTTGTATTTATTTTCTTTTCGTTTCCTTGTCAAAACAATTTATATTCTTTTCCCTTAGGGGTATGCATCTATTAGTTTTGGTTTTCACATACTCCAAATAGATTATACCATCAAATTGAATTGATTTTATTGTTAAAATTGAAATATTCGATTTTGGTGTTTTTCGGTTTATTTTTGCTTTTTATGATTTATTTATAAATTAAAACCGTGAGTGGTGGGAGGGAATTCGAATTTTTATTTTATTTTAATCCTATGGGGCATAAATTAATAAAATAATTATAAAAAAGGTTACATCTTATAAAAATAATAATAAACAAATCAGAGTGATTAAAATAAGAGTAATTTAAAAGATGAGCGATTGAATTGAAAAATTTTAAACGTTAGTGATCAAAATAAGAGTAAGGAGATAATCGAGTGATAAATAGTGTAATTTACCCTTTTTAAAATAAAATTTGTTTAGTTAAATTTTTTATTTTTTAACATAAGTACTAGAAGACATCAGTCCAATATATGGACATATACATCGTTTAACATCACCTATTAAAAAAGGGAAAAACATCACTTGTTTTGACATTGATTTTCTTAAATAACTTTATATCTACATCTTTTATCATTTTATTATATACATTTCTAAACCAAATTTTCATTTTTTTATAATATATGTTCTACACTAACATATTAAGATATGATAAATTTAAGTCAAATAAGTTGTTAATTAAATGCTTAATCCATTTTTTTATTCCAGAAGGACATATAATTTTGTGTTTGGGAGTAAAATTTAAATTTTAGGATCAGACGAATTTATAAAATTCTAAAGACTAAACGGATTTTTTTAATAAAAAATATAAAAATAAATTAAATTTAATATTAAATTTTCAATGAGTACTGCTCCCACCCATCCGTTTGATCCATCTATCCTTCTACTATAATACACGACTTTATATGTCTTCCCGTTCTTTTCTCTTAGAGCTAAATCTCCCCCATCTTTTAATCTTTGCCATCTCCACCACCTAAACCAACCTCCGCCCAAAGCAACACCGCAGCTGAGCCACCTAAAACCATGACCGCCGAGTACTGCAGCCACCACAACAACGGAAACCAGCTAATGAAGGGCGTATCGATCGCCATTGTAGGGTTCCTCATACTTAGCGGCATAGTAATCCTGCTAGTATGGGCAATTCTTCATCCTTCCAAGCCCAGCTTCCTCCTCCAAGACGTCACCATCTACGGTTTCAACCTTACAGCCCCAAACTTGCTCACTTCAAACCTGCAAATCACACTAGCTTCAAGAAACCCTAACAAAAGGATCGGCATTTACTACCAAAAGCTCGATGTCTTCGGGTCGTATCATAACCAGAAGATAACTTTACCCACATTGCTTCCGAGAACCTACCAGGGCCATCGAGATATCACCATCTGGTCGCCGGTTTTGTACGGCGACGCCGTGCCGGTGGCTCCGTTTCTTGAGGCAGCGTTGACCGGAGACATGAACGGTGGTGGGTTGGTGATGCTGGACATCAAGGTTTTCGGGAAAGTAAAATGGAAAGTCGGGTCTTGGATTTCGGGTCGGTATCAAATTAACGTCCATTGTCCTGCTTATATTTCGTTTACTGAACGAATCATGGGGTTCCAAGTTGGTTCTTCCATGAACTATCATCTTTTGCAAACTTGCAAAGTTGATATTTCTCGTTAACTAATTTCTTTGTTTTTTGGCTTATAGGAGGAATAAGTACTTAAAAGTATATTATTTTTTCTTTTAAGCATCTAATTTTTTTATTTATCAAAATAAGTATCTAAAATTATTTTTAGTCAAATAGGTACTTAAAGTATTCAAATTTATTTATCTAAATACCTAAAGTATTTTTTAAATAATGACACGCGTCAACTTTTTTAGAACTTTGATGAAAAAATTGAATACTTTAAGTACCTATTTTGTCTAAAAAGATAACTTTAAACATTTACTTTGATAAAAAAAATACTTTAGATATTTAGATTAAAAAAAAAGATGATATATTAGGTACTTGTTTGTAACATAAGTTCCCCCCCCCCTTCTTTCTTGATGTCTCATTTGTTGTCAAATTCTAGATTTGCTAGTTAGAAAGTTGAATGTTGTTGGAAACTGCAGACTGATCAGCTGTGTTCTTCAATCTAGTGATTTTCTTTTTTTACATTGAAAATGGGGAAATTTATTGCGTATTGCATAATTTTGGATCATGTTCCATGGTAGCAGGACAATGAGTAATTCAAGTCACGTTCTCTAAGTTCAAATAAGAGTAAACATGGGTTAAGTCAAGTTTTATTTTTATTTTATTTTTACATTGGCATTATTAAATGAAATAGGTCCTTAACTTTTTAATCAACTTTCATTGGTTAGGGTTTTTATAATAGGAAAAGTTGCGTTTTGCAGATCCTAGAAAAGGGTGGTCAACTCTCACGTTCTTATGTATCTTTGGAATTATATGTTGTTTGAAATAGTGATTGTTGGACCAAGTAGTCTTTACTGCAAGTAGTTGGATCTTCTGACCACTAACTTCATGTAACATACGTAATTAAGTAATGAAATGGTGGTATGAATACCATAGTGAAAGCAAAAGAAAAGAAAACAAAAAGGTCCATGAACGTCAAAGACCTAGGTTTTGTTTTCTTTAATAGTTAAAGACCTGAGTTTTTTTTTTAAATAGTGAAAGACCAAAGTTATAACTAGAAACCAATACAATGCCGTCATCGCTATCATTTTCATTTCCGGGAACGATACGTGCAGGAACCTAGTTTTTAATTTTTTTGGGAAAATGAAACATAATATTTTAGGGTATATTTGGATCACATAATGTAAAATACCTTAAGAATCTGATTGCATATTGCTAAAGAAAGATCTGATTACGTAAAATGTTATATTATTTTTTTTATTTTTTATTTTTGTTAATACAGAACCAGCTAGAAATTAACTAGACTCCATGATATCTTTCTGCAGAACAGCGTGAATGGCCTCTAGCGATTGTGTGAGTTGTATAACTCCCATATCAGCACCACGGCTCAGGGCAGCCAAGAAATCAACAGCAACATTCTACTCACGGCGGACATGTCGAATTACCGTCTCCCAAACTCATAATCCCTTGGCCTTTCATCTCCATGTACATCTCATTTATTCTTATGGTTCTAGCCCTAAATCTCATAGTAAAGAGGAAATAGAAAAACTATACTCTCTTATCTCTCTTCTTCTTACTTCTAAATTCTATAGTTTAGAGGAATAATTCTTCATTCAAAGGTTTAGAGGAAAAGATAGAAAGATTAACGAAAGATATTGATTAACTAGTTCATTTATGATTATATTATTCTTTCAATTATTTTTATTTTCTAAAGATTTGCGGTAGAGCGACTTCACTTTATCTACATCGATTTACTTATCGCATCACATATATGTATCCATCTATACGCCCTTTACGTGTGACATATTCTGTCATTTAATAGGTTTAGGGTTGTTATGTTTGATCTCCAACAGAGAAGTTACCGGTTGTTATGTTGCATGCCACATGCCGATTATTAAGTTGACGGTTCCTTTTCAAATTCTTCTTGTTTCAACGTGATGATTAGCTAAACAATGTCCTAAATTAAATCCATTAGTGTTTAACATACAATGTACAATTATTAGTACCATAACTTGCATAACATCAATTCAAAACTAACTACCAAATATAACAGCTAAATCCAAACCAAAAATTAGATCCATGGGATTGAGAATGGGGACTAAATTGAAAGAATTATCCTATAATAAATTTCTACAATATTAGATTCAAATTAATCAATCAAAATCTACTTTTAACTGTCCGATACGGCAATAAAAACCTAAAATATTAATAATGAGTTGGATCATAGGTCAGTATTATCAATTAACAAACATAACTCTTCCTTTCCAACATACGCTGCTGGAGTTTCAATCTCTGGGTTTTCCCGATATCTTCGTAAAAAATGAAGTCATGAAACACGTAAATATCCTTTTCTTCCTTCAATACCAAAACTTTTCCTACTTGACTTCAACTCAAACTTCATCAAACCAAGGTTTTAAAGCCTCAGAATCAAAGCTATCGAAGATAAAAGTGAAGAAATTGAAACCCGATCTTCATCTGTAGATTAAGTGACAAAGAAGTATGGTCTTGAAGCTGGGCTATGAAGGTACCTACATTTCTCTTTTCTTAATTACTATTGTATATCTTTCTTTTCTTTCTCCTCTTGGTGTTATTGGGTTTGATGAGAAGCTAACTTTGTGCCTATGATTTCATCTATTTTTGTAATAATCTTAAAATATTCAGTTCCAAGGATGAAGGTCAAGAAAAGAAATCCAAGGGGCGAAGGAGCATACTTGGCAACCTCTATTAGCCTTTCTTTGATCTCCTTCTCCCTTTGTTATGAACTACTTACTGCAGACATTGATGTTCACGCTTTGCTTCAAAAGGTAAAAATAAAACCAACAAAATAATTAAAACACACTAGCATACACAGTTACACACACACACACACACATATGATACAAAATTTCCCTTATATGCTTCCATTTCATAATTAGTGACTAAAGGTGGAATCTGAGTACTAACCATTAGATGAAACTTTGAATTCCAGGTGAGAATCTCAACCGATGCAATCAGGGAGAAAGTCGGACCTTTGCATTGGCATATGCTGCACAAAATGCATCTCCTATATCGTTTCCTTTCTCTGACTCCCATTGTTCCTAATTGGATAGGGAAGAAGGTTGAAAAAAGATAAATCTTTGGGGCATTTCCATGTCCAATTCCCTGTTTCACATCTAATTTCTATGTACAACATTTTTGGTGTTTCCTGCAGAGATTACAGTTTCCCTTGCAGCTCCAAAACGATTGTTTCAATGTGTTTGCAATGGGTTAACTGCAACACTACCATTGTTTTGTTGCAAATCGCATATAAAATCTAGTTCATGAAAGCTTCTGAAAAACAGACATGGCATGCAAGTCACAGACCATTATTTCATAAAAAAATCTCAATACAGTAAAAGCAAGGTACATCAGATCATTTGTTTGCCATCACAAAATGTCTATATGACCCTACGGAAGTGAATCTAATGACAAATTGTAGTTGATGCAAGAAAAGCAAAAGAGAGGGAACAATATACAGCGATTAACTCGGATAAAAATGTGACCTTATATACTACAAGATCACGTTGGATCATTGTATTACTTACTGTACAGTGATTGAGCTACCAACTTCCTATTCTTTAGTTCCTCAGAATTTTTGAAGAAGCATTAAGTACCCAACTTTTGAGAACCGTTACGGCAGTCTGCAGAGAATGAAGAATGTTCTGAACAAAAAGAATAGGCCAATTAATCTTCAGTTTCACACATTCAAATGTCTTTTACCTTCCAGTGAAGAAGGATTTTCAGCTGCATTTGAGGGAGGCGATTGAGGACCCGGTGTGCTAACAGCAGCCATGCCAAAGTCCTCATGAAGTGTATAAAACTCGTTCCAGTCAACCCCAGCTATAATCAAAACAGTCATGAAACGCAAAATAATAAGCAAGAGAAAATAATTAACTTTATTCAAGGACATCTCAGCAGAGGATACGTTCAGTCCGCCATATCAATGATGCTAACACCAGGATCTGATAAAAGCCAATAATCAGCATCACTCTGCAAAAGAAATCAGGAAATTAGTCATTACGATTTATCAGAAGTGCATAAAAATTAACTTCATCATATGAGTATTTTGAAATGGTTATTCCAGCTGAAGAATTGCAGCAATATGTTATCCGAAGGAAACCCATCTGAACAATCAACACGCTCATACATTTAAGATTCACAGACCATACTACTGTTGTCTGAAAGCTTTTTATTTTCTCAGAGAAGCACTATCAATATGGTACAAGAGTAGAACTTACATCAACCTCTGAGGGAACAATCTTCATGATCCCTCACAAAGTCCTGTGAGGCAATAATATCTGAGCACATTCTATTAGCATCATGACCCTGCATGTCAACCTCCTTCCCTCTGCTTTCCTCTGTTACCTTATTTGTTGCTGAGTTCTCATTCAAGTCTGAAGCTGACGGAAAATTTGGAGGTGGATCTACACCTTGTATCTCTTCAATTTTTTCTCAAATTGACTACAGTATCAGAAAGGTAAAAGTTGAAGTTGACCATTTTAATAACAGGTGGACATGTATCTTTAGCACAAAAGATTTTGCCATTCTATAATAAAAAATAAATTTACATGCAAGTCTACAAACTTTTAACCAGCAAGAAGCAGCAGTACCTGACGAGGTAGACATCTATAGGACCCATTGAGCTTCTAAGGACAATCCTATATCTCCTCTGGGTGTAGTCAACAGCCTGTTAAATAAATAAAAATTTGCAAATGTGATTGAACATTAAAACATGAACCAAAAGTTAGTTCTTCAAACCTTTGAGCGTACTCATCAGGATCTGGAACTTCCAGATGGTTCCATGTGGAGCTTTTATAGCTATCAGCGTTACATTCTAAACAAGGCAATAGAACATTTAGTTAACAGCAGAAAGTGGGATGCTTCCCAAGCATTACAATACCATGTGACCCTACCAATTAGCAACTCAGACATATAGTACAACATTTGATCAATTAACAAACCTGGAAACAAGGTAAGCTCTTAATATCTTCTCCGGTCACGAAAAGCCACCTGAGATGGAAATGTTGAA